TGGAATACATTTTAAAAGTAACCTTCCCAACACTGATGATCACTGTTGCTGTGGTGTACATCAGTCGGTTTCAGTAATGGTCACAGTAGGGATTGTTTCTAATGCTGCATTCACATCGTCTAGTAGACTTTCAGAGGGAACTTCATGTTTTCCAGCTTAGCCATGACCTTCACTTTCGGGTCAGCTGCTCTCACATTCAACACCTTCGACGCACCAGTTGCTCTTAGGGCTTGGTACCCAATCTCTGAGGGTGGTGATAATGACATTTCCCCCTGACCCAACATCCTAGCTCTGCCTTGCCGCAGCATTTGTGCTGTACCTTATCATCCTCTAGCTGCTGCTTGTTTCATGCGTGTGTATGAATGAAAGCAGTTTGTAAAGCAGTTTAATGTGCAGACGGGGTCACCATCATTTGTGTTTTTGTCCTCTTCTTTTCTTCTTCTTTTTTTTTTTTTAAATAGAAAACATTCATTTGCAAAATTTACAGAATGTATGGAAAATAACTAAACAAACTAACCCAGAAGTGTAGACTGGCTGGGAGAAGTTGAAGAGGATGTAGTCACCCTGGAGGGGAGTTATTGCCCAGAAGAAATCTCGTCCTTCGTAAGCACTTTTCAAACTGTGCGTCTGGTAGTGTTTCAAAGTGCTGCTCACCTCTGCAGGTGGGTTATTGTGAGCCTTGTACAGCGTCTGCTTCCCAAAGTCTTTGTCCTGAAGTGGATAAGAGAAAGAAGAGAAAAATATCTTTGCCCATACCACAGCACATCCACAGGCGAGAACACTTAACAACATGAATGAATGATTCTGGGTCAATTCAAAACACATACAGTTAAAATGCTAAAGCTGCACATTCACATTATATGCCAGTGTTCATGTTAAATCAGGCTGTGCTGTCATGTAGCTACTCCATGACAAACACCATCATTCTTTCACACTCATCTCAGTCGCTTTCTCTTGTCTTGAACTCTATTGTCAGCTAAGCAAACAGCAGATCAACAACATTTTTTCTGCTCAGGTTAAACTGTACGGCTGATCCTATAGGGCCTTGGAGTTGACGTCACGCCGCAATGCACTGTGGGAGCGCGGCACCATTTTAGCAGGCCACGAATCAAAACAACCACACTGTGTTGGAAGGAAGATTGCTACGAACCACACTTAAAAGCAGCTCAAAATAAAAACGACGGTATAGAGACAGATTGCGTCCGGATGCAAAGAGACGGTACTTGCAAAAAATAGCGTGCACTGGAAATGTGGACCCGTATGAAATAACGACAGTGGAGCAGAAACACTAGGCCAACCGCTATTGACTTACGGTGTGTCCACACCGAATAGAGCGTCAGGTTTACATGTAACGTCAATGGAAAAGCGCGATGACACGCGATTGCGGGTCCCGCGAAAATTCGGAAGCAGATTTGCATCGCGAAAACACGTGAAACGCGCGTCAGTGTAGCGCGTCTGGCGCGTTTGACTCACAAAAAAACCCAGTTTTTGAGTTTTTGTGTTGCATTTTGTGCATACGCGCGTTTCGCGTCTACCGCTCGAGTTGGAAAAATCTGAACTCCAGCGTCAAATCGCGCCGCGACAACCAATCAGGAGCCTGGTGACGTGGCTCTGACCAAGGTCAAAGGGGCAGATCCAGCCAAAGCCCTTCATTCTTCAATGGAGGGAAAACCCATAATGTTGTATTTAGGGGGTCTACATTTGTGCCTGAAGTGCATTGCCATGTAAATAATTAGCATTTACTGAATATGTACTTACTAAGCAACACTGTTCAAAAGTTGAATAAAGAAACAAATAAATGTTGCCTTTAATTAAAACATCACATCAGTTACAATGTAGAATCAATGTATAGTTTACAAATGACAAAATGTTCACATAAAATCATGACAGCATTTAAATAATATCACCCGCTGCATTCTGTCTCTTTTGAAAACTTATCACTACATATACAGCACAAGACTTTTAAGAGTATCTAACAAGAGCATTTCCCCTGGTTTTACTACCACACTGGGGCACATGTTCACCAAAACCTTCACCATCTTATCCAGAAGGGTCACCTCTTCACCCTCACATGGAAGAAGTAATCTGAGTGGCCTGGTGGTGTGTAGCATGTGGTGAAGCAGGGATTTCATAGTGCCCCATGTGTAGCGCTGGAACCCAGTCAGGATTTGTTTCATCCGTTTCATAGACTGGTTTGCTGCAATAATGACAAACAATTAGCAACTCTATAAAGAGAACGTATATAATAATTATAATTCTATAACCGTTTATAACTTGCATAGTTCATATTTCTGTATAGTTTTCATATTTATAACCTGTTCATAGTCTGTACATACTTATAGTTATAGCATATTCATAACATACCTTCATACTGTGTACATTGTAACATACACATAATTGACCCATATTTTGTACCCTCATACCTATAACAGACCCGTTTCTGTAATATAGCTATATTATTGCTAAAGCCCTTCTGGATGGATGCAAACTGCATTTCGTTGCCTGTACTTGTGACATGTGCAATGACAATAAAGTTGAATTCTATTATATATATCTACAAAATCACTCATTAGGATGTTTGTTCTAATTTGCTACGACCTCAGAGCGCATTGAAAATACAACTATTAGGCTATAAAGAGTGATATGAACTTATTTAGATCTTACCTGAATGAAAATGTCTGGAGCACCAACAGATATCTGGAGATGGAGATGAACTGGATATCAGCTCGTCTCACAGCTGCTATCCAGGCTAGACGCCTTCTTTCGGTAACATCCGACACATGAGCTCCCTCATGCTGCTTCCAGGTGGGGAAATGATAAAAACAGAGCCCATTTTCTGGCTTATTCCCTTCCCGATCGTGCGATCTAACATTACAACCGACAACACAGCAAGTGTGAACCACTGCTGATGCTTTCGCTCCTTTGTTTGGCCTGCTAAAATGGCGCCTCGGCGGTCACGCCCCCTCCCGTGACATCACGCTCCAAAGCCTTGAAGTGTTTCACAGGAATGCTTTTCATTGCTCAGCTGTCACACCTCATTTAACTCTACTAGTTTCACAGGTAGTTCACAGAGCTGTTTTACCACCCTGTTCACCTTTAGCCTTCTTCTGTTGTTTAAGTCACGTTTGACACATTTCCTGGTTCATATTTGTAAAACAGCTTTTAAATATTTAAATCTGAAAAAGATTTTACGAGTCTTCAATAAAGGCCTACTAATGTAACAGAAGAAAAGATGACTAGAAAAGCACCTTCTCTTTTACTCCCACTCAGGTGTCCTGACACCATTACCACCAGATTCTAGTAATATACAACCCCTGCACATGTGACCCTTGAACCTCGTTATCAAAGCTCTTTTTAACAAATGAACTGTAGAGAATGTTCAGCAGGGGACATTAACATCAGCCATGTTCTCACTAATGACCTGATTGGTTTAGGAGAGTGCTGCCCGAGTAGTGCTCGAAGCCTGAATTTAATCTGCACAAATTGGTTTGGGTCGAGACATTTGCATTCTCACCTCAACCTCCACTGAACAGAAAAGTTCAGGGCTCAAGTACATGCACGAAAATGGCCATTTACAGTCAAACGCATTTTATTTACTCATTGGCATTTTACAAGATGTCATCTGGTTGATAGAGTCCAAAGACGGCAATTTTACATTTACTTTTAAGTGTTACAAGTGTCATAAAGAGTAAATCAGACTCCTGCTGGACTTTGACTGGGCTATTCCAACACCCTGAATCTTTTCTTTTTCAGCCCTTCAGTTTGTTTCTGTGCTTGGTGCCGTTGTCCTGTTGCATTACCCAAATTAGCCCAGGTGTTATCTTTACATTACCCAAATTAGCCCAGGTGTTATCTTTACATCTGGCCTTACATTCAATTGGAATAGACTTTGGTATAGGGAGGAGTTCATGGTCGACTTGGTGGCTTCACAGATGGTATGAGGAATACATGTGGATGCACTGCGTTTTGTTTTCACCAAATATCCCCAATGGCTCTGACAGATAAACCTTCATATCCATCATGAAACACGTTTCCTGGGAGTCAAAGGAACTTTTTTTTTTTCTTCTTTAGGTCACGAGCAGTTGTCTAAGCATTTCACTGCATATCGTACTGTGTATGACTGTGTATGTGACAAATAAAATTTGAATTTGAATTTTAAAACCGGTTCTTTTGTATTCTTTACGGCCAAGAAAGACACAGCTCAGAAGTGGTCCTTTTACTTTAAAAATGATCTTTATTTTACATATCCTTGATATGGAGACCTGAACACAAAACACACAACCCCAGGTCTGAAGCACAAACGGAGGTATTTATATACTTGCTCTCTAAATTACACCACTATAAGTTTCAATCAAAGACTCTGCTTAGTTTCACTTTCTGGCTGCAAAAGCATGCTCTGCAAAAGCATGCTCTGCAAAAGCATGCTCTGCAAAAGCATGCAGTTTCCTGTCAGTGCTTTTTGGCACAGACTGTACTCAGAGTTAGGCCTCTCTTATATTAAAACAATATAATCATTCGGATTATATATTCAAACCCCAACAGAACTCTCACCTTCAGATGCTGCAGTTTCCCGGGCAGAGAAGAGTGGAGACCAACATGCTGAAAGAGGGAAGGCTTGTACCTCTGCTTGAGTAGTGCCTTCTGCTCTGTGCAGTGTTTCTATATACAATGTGAGAACATGTGAGTTTGAAACGCACTGTAAAAGCTGCTCTTTACAACAACAACAAAAAAAACAAGCAATAGGAAACAATGTACTGTTCAATGCTTTCTCAGTACTAGAAATACCATGCTTTGTATAGACAAGAGGTGTCATCTGCATAGAGTGTGTAGAGTCTGAGTCCCAGATCTATTTAACCACAGATTTATTTAGAGATTTATGCTCCATTTTAACAAAAATCTACAACAACAACGTGTTTTTTCTTATTTGTAGGGCTGTAACAAACAGCAAAGTTTGTAAAAAAAAATAAAAATGAAGTGGTCTGACTCTTTCCCAAAACACAAATGAATCTATACTTTACATTTCTTGACTCTTGATATAACTGACTTACATCATCTTTCTCGGGGTTGCAAACCTTCACCCACAGAATGTGATCCAGCAGCCAGTCAATAGGTTTGTCTCTGTGAAACATGAGGAAGAACTCGGCGATCATTGGGAGGTCCCGGGTGCGAAACAACTTGCCTGGAGAATCACACATACACACAAATGCATTCGTGTAATATTACCTAAAAAAATCCACACACACACACACACAAAAAAATCACTTCAGTATTTTACACAAAAGCACACCTATAAATCCAAGCTGGGAGAACTCAAGGTAGAGCCATGGCTTTGACGCTTCGTTTGTGGCGTAGGCCTTCATCTCGTCATAGTAGCCCGACTTAGCAACAACATCATCCTCTAACTGGAAATCAACAGACAACAAATAATAATTTGCTCCTTTATCCTTTTTCTTAGTTATCCTAAACGTAACAGGACTCTGTGCTGCACTTAGGCATTCGACCACACATTTTAGATCTGCTTAGCTTGTTAAAAACAGACGTGTCAGGAAGTAGACACTATTTATAAAAAGTTTAAACATAAGCACAGCTACAGCCCAATCAGACCACTCCTGGTGAAAAGGAGAAAGAGTTTACAACAGGCTATCATTTCAGACTTTTGTATTTCACATTTCTGTGATGTCATCTTTGGGTCTTCTGTAAGCATTTATAGTCTGAGCTCATCTGCAGTGCCCCTACCCAGACAAGCAATGTGAAAGCGAAAGATATATAAGGAAGAATTATAACATACAAAGCTACTCTGGCTGATATCACAAACAAAGAAATGGTGCTAAAAATAACTTTCCTGAAACATGATATGCAAAACACAATAGAAATAAGGTGTTTAATAAATAATAACTAAAGTCTGACCCTAACCTGAACATAAAACGTTCCTTTGTCTTGAGCGTAGAGCATCAGGAAGCTGAAGTCCAGATTCTGTTTTGTTCGCCATCTAAAATCAAACAAGAAGCACAAATATAACCCGAGCAGAAATTCACTCACCTTTTTGGTTTTGGTACTCACTGCGTGTTTATACACCACTCTGCATTCAATAAATAACAGTTTATTGTTTAACACACCAAACACATTATAAGTCTCCTACTCTTCATCATTTATTTATTAGGTTATATGGTGTATATGTTGGTTTTGTGTCCTCTGTGCCACTGCAGCAGCACATACTCTATTTTCTGCACTATAAGGCGCTCTTAAAAATCCTTTAATATTCTCCAAAATCAACAGTGCGCCCTATAATCTGATGCGTCTTATGTATGAATTCTGGTTTGCTTACTGACCTCGAACCGATTTTATGTGCTACACGGCGCTCAAAAATCTGTCAAAAAATGTTTTAGTACGACTTTGGTGCTACGAAGCCGCACCGCTTGATGGATTGTCGGAGCATTACGGCTACCATAGCAGGAGCCTCGCGCAGTAATCTGGGTCCTAAACTCCGTCGCTTCAGGTCCCAAAGTCAAACAACACTGCAGCATCACTGAGAGTTAAAAACTGTCTAAATTCTTTCATCTTTAATAAAATGATCAGCGTTGCTGCTTTACCAGGTGTAACAATTAAGTTTAACATCCAGGCATCCATGAAAACAGAATTTATTAAATTTAACGAGTTAGAAGTTAGCAGGAAGTTAGCTCGCTAGCTTCCACCTAAACATGATGTAGCATGTTCTGACTGAGAGATTTCTGAAAAATTCAAACGTACAGCTCTGCTATCACTTCCAACATAAATGAAGACAGAAACTAAACAGCAGTGACGTTTGTAGGGTTACTGAAGTTGGGCTAGCTGGTATATAATGTTGTGCTACGTGATCGCTGGCGACACAGCTATGCTAGCATAACATAAACACAGTGAAGCTGGAGGATGAACGCTAACTTTTTTTCCCCACTCGACAAAAATGTTAATGCGAAGGTTCCCGATGGTTATGGACAAATGCAATCGCATGGCAGGATTCTGTAATGTATAATCTGGTGCACCTTATGGTCCGAAAAATACGGTAAAAAACACTTCAGAATTACCATCACTGACAAAACATTTGTAGCATTTCGAGACTGCATCATGTGATTTTGTATATGCACCGTACTTGACTCTTTCTTTGGAGTCTCCAAAAGTCTCCTTAAGGCTGGCGAAGTCAGGGTAGTAATACTGTGAAGGAGAGATGACCTCCAGCAATCCAGACTGCACCTCCTTGGGAAAACTGCAAAGAATGAGCTAGTTAACTGCAGAGATCAACATCAAGATACAAAGGAAATAATAGACATTCTTTGTTAGTATTTAGAGGTTAATCAAACAGTTATGTGTATGCTAACAAAATATGTAATAACAAGTCTTATGAACTGTAGGGCGTTTCATTCTCACACTTTACCTAGCTGTCCTGAAAAGTTCTTCCTAAATCACAGATCAAACATTGTATTTGACCAACAGGCGTTTAGGTTAATCAGAGAACAAATTCCTGAAAACATATGCTGGGAACCAACTTTCACACTCTCCCGTTGCCGGGAGGAAGAGCAGCAACAACATTAAAAACCTGTTTTGTGACAGCTTTTGTTAGCATGTAGTAGAGGCTAATGTAAAGCATCAGTGCACATAGACTACACTGAAGCATTTGCGTGAACAGAAATGTAATCAGGCGTTTCCAGTTCCATTTTACCAGAACATCTAATTGAGTTCAAAAAAATGAATGAATGTATGAAGACAAGTTTTATACACTCCAGTGATACAGTCATTTAAGATTTGGACATTTCTTGTGTTCTCTTTGCATAAAATTACATGCCAATGTGTAGTTTTATGCTTACAGATTACCCCTGTTATCTCAGGTTTATTTCTTTTAATCTGTGGTTGAATCTCAAAGAAGAGAAATGGAAAATTAGCTGCCTAACTTTTCCTTTATTTGTAAAGCGATACATAAAACAGACCATTTCCATGTTGAAGTTGCACATAAAGAGAAATACTTCCCCAGTAGACAAATCTCACACATATGACCATCAGCCATAGTTAGTCCATGGCTGACTAAAGAAAATAGATTGGTGAATGCCCACATCCAATACAATCCTACTGTAATAATAAACATCTTATTTTTTATACACTTACAGACAGAAACAGCAGTCTGCTGCTGGTGCTGCAAGCAATAAAGAGCATGAAACTTAAGTCTAATGTGAACACTGATACAACAGAGAAACTGCCCCATGGGAGGCAATCTAGCTCACTTACTTCTTCATGATGGTCTCTGCTACACTGTTCACATAGTCTAAGTTTGTCTGAAAGACAGAGAGAGAGACAGGACTGGGTCAGTGATGGGGAGGGGGGGCATATTTGACTGAATTAATATTAAACTTGAGCTCCTCGAGGCTTTTGCAACAATGAATACACGCTGGTGCTCTTACAGACTAAGACTGTAACTGTGTAAGTCCTTTGAAGGCCAGACATATTATCAGTTTCAGTTTGGGGGTTGATAAAGACTCGTTGTGTTCCTGTTTATAGTTTCTGTTACTCACCAAAAAAAAAAAAAAACCCAATAAAAGAAAACCCCAAAGATGAGCAGGTATGAAAGTCGTTAGGTGTTCATGTGTGCTTTCTCTCAGATGTCTAGCAAACAGCACATTATAGTCCATATGCAAGAGCACTCTCAGTGAGTCAGACTGACATCAGAAAAAAGTGCTTTAGTGGCACTGTATAACAGCTGTGTGTCACATCTCACCCAATAAGTAAATCAGCATGTGGGAGCAAAGAAGGAAGCAAAGGTCATTCTGGTCCTTAATACTTATTTATGGTATTTATTTATGATTTATTATAATTTATGACATGCAATTGAAATTAATTGTACATTGGTTTGCAGTAGGGAACAATTTACCTTGTTCACCACTAAATTATGGTGTTTGAGTTCAGGAGTGTTATGAGGTCAGGTGCATTAGGATAGGCTAACAAACACTGATGTGCCTTAGGTAAGCCAAGCCAGCTGCTACACTGCATATCAAGGAATTTATTATAGGCAAGCTAAAATTAGCTAGCATAAACTGGAAAGGAAAAGAAACAACTTTAATCCAATGAAGCCCATCTGAGTGAGAGGGGAAAACCACATCCCCACAACGTGAAACTTTTACCACTGTGCTTGAGATTTGGTGGTTGTTTTTTAAAGTTATCAGCTAACTTTATAAATTAACCACCACCACATGAATGCACCGTAGCTAAGTTACATGTAGCTGGCTAACTATACCTTAGCATAATTGCATCGCAGCAGAAATTAAAGTTATATAGCAGGCCAAATTACTTCACTGGCTAACATAACTCTTCTTAGTAACTTGTGTTTAATATGAAACTACACTGTGTCTAGCAGGAAATGATCCAATGATTCAAAGCAAAGATATAAATAACTTACATTTGTTTTGTAAAGTAACAGCAAACTTACGGACAGTTAGCCAGCTAGAGTGTGTGTGTGTGTGTGTGTGTGTGTGTGTGTGTGTGTGTGTGTGTGTGTGTAACCTCAGCAACAAAGACGATGATGAGGAGATCCTGGCACTGTGATGAAGTCAGGCTAAATAGCAGAGAGCTAAGCGTGTTGACCAGGTAACTTTGCTTGTCACGCTTCACAGTGGGAATGCCAAGCACCATGGACACTGAGAGATGACAGGATAGAGAACCAGAGAAAAACTATAGTCACTGTCTGCTTCCATTAGCACAGCAGATGTAAAACTGACTATCCCTCATTTGACTCTTGCATTCACTTTATTTATTTATTTATATACATATATACATATATATATTATCCTACCAAGATTCATTGAATAGTAGGGCTGTGCATTTTTATTAAATGTGAGGGCTTCATACCTCCACGACGTCCCTGTCCCAGCACTACATTAGGTACAAGGCTGCCCGGATGGAGTCTGAGGTGGGGCATGAAAATGTAAATATTGGGCTGAATGAATGTTTGCAAGCCTGTAGGTTGCTTTTCTGTTTCTGTAAACACAAAGAAAAAGGGATAGAGGCATGTGGTGTTATAGTTAGCACAGTTAGCACACAACATGCTAATAGGCCAGGTAAAAATATATGATTAACTTTCATATGTATTTTGTTTCCTATACATACAGGAAACTAAATAAATAGGAATTATGGCAGACAGACAAAATTTGAGACCTGTGCTCCTGTGTCAACCATCAACTGCAACTTCTGTAGATAAACTGCCCGTGGTACATTACACAGAGAGAAACCTGGATGATCTACTTACGTTTTACAAGTCAAATGACTTAGGTCCACATTTCTTTTGATTGTGTGGAAATGCTTAAACAAAGTACAGTTTCAGCTAGAGGTCTCTGTTGTGACTTTTTTTTTTTCTTCATTAAGCCAAAAAACGCCAATTTAATTATCCAGATTCAGAGAAATCCTAGAAATACTGTGTATTCACCATTGCATGAACACTGACATTTTAACCCTGGAGAAACCATGGGGTCAAATTTGACCCCATGGTTTCCCTAGTAAACCAATGGGGTCCGCTCTGACCCCATGGGTTCTCCAGGGTTAAGAAACATTTACAAAGTTTTAATAGGGTTGAGGTCAGGGCTGTGGAAAGGCCATTCTGAAAGAATAATGTTAGCCTGCTTCCATTCTAAAAGCAGCTTTGCTGTGTGTTTGTCCTGTTTGAACATTTAATTGTGTCCAAGTTTCAATCAACTAGCTCTTCATCTGATGTTACGTTAAAGAATTTAGAGCTAGTCCTCCTTCATTGTTCCGTCCACTTTGTGCAATGTTCCACTACCACTGGTGTCAAAAAAGCCCCAGAGCATGGAACCGTCACCACCATGCTTCACATTTGGCTTTAGTGTTTAGGTTTGAAAGCCTCACCTTTACTCCTCCAAACATACCTTTGTCATTACAGCCAGATAGCGGGAGCTGCAAAGTCCAGTTAAGCTCGAAGGGATCAGTTTTAGAGCAGAGGCCTTTTTTCTTGGCACGCCCTCCGTCCACAGCAATATAAAACTAACTTCAGTTCGGCAGGCTTGAGCCTCGTTGGCCTTTGAATTGTTCTGAACCAATTTCCTCTCATCTGAGAGTGACACTTTGGGTCTTCTTCCAACTGAATAATCTGTACCAACTTACAGTTGTTTGAATTCATGACCTTGGAACCTCCAGTTGCTTAAAAAATGTCTCCAACAGATCTTCCAAACTACAATTTTTCCCCTTAGATCTTCGCTGAGTTACTTGGCCTATTATTCAGTCCAATAAATGCCATCAAACAGTGCAGTCGAACGAACTACCAGTTTGAGTCAATCGTGATCACTAATAAGAAATGAACAGGCCCTGGCAAGTTCAAAGATGCTGTAGAACTTTAGCACCACGATTGTCTTTTTTATTGTTTTTTATCATTCTTATTACAAAGTTAAGAAATCTGCGTTTAAAGTTGAGTCCAGTGTTGCCTTACACATAAAAGAATGATTCCCAGTGAGTGGAGAATAGCATTGGTCAGTACATGCTATCCAGCATGGACTGTGTTCAGTGTTTTCAGCTTTAGGTCTGTTGATGCTGTGTACTGTATCCATGTAGTTATCTTTTTTGTTTCTAATATCTTGCTCTTATGACGCATTTCCAAAGACATTTGCCTTTATTCAAAGTCATAAAAACAAATAGTGCTGGGTTCTCTGCTACCCACCTTTAAAGCCTGTCCTGTTGTGGACAGAGTAAAGATAGGAGTCGTTGCCAGTTTTGGAAAGGTTCCTTAGCTGTTCCAGGATGCTGCTGAGATCCTGACTGACCTGCCCCCCCAGCTCCTCGGCCACCAGCAGACGCTTGTACAGGATCTGCAGGTCAGGCATCACTGTTGAACCTGGATGCATACAGCAAAGTTTAAAGAGTTAAGACACACTAGTTGTCAGCAAACTGACTGCTTATCGGCTTAATTTCTAACTTAAAGTCACATCATTCCATAATAACCGCCCACCTTAAGCAGATATGTCCCTTCAGATGGTGGAAAGCCTAACTTGAGTCAACTTTCCTTATTTTATCTGAATGACCACAGAAAACAAATAAATATGCAAATCTTCAAAGAAGTTGGAATCAGTAAGCTTTTGTCATCTTTGCTTGGGAGCTGGCATTTCAGCATCTCCCCATATTTTTGTTTTCACAATGACATTCATGTTTCTAACAGACGCTTCTCTCTCTGTTTATACACCAGGCAGCTCTATTTATAGTGCAGACACGTCTGCAGCACTTGAAGAGATTCTTGTTTTCAATCACTCCAATCTCTTTGTTCAACTGCTTTCAACTCTCCGACATCAACGTTCACTCACGGAACATTTTCATGTAATCAGTTCACACTTTGTGCTTTTATCTGCCACTTTTATAAATGACAGTTGATTACTTTTGAAAGGACATGTTACACGTTCAACAATCAATTTTTTTTATATGCATGAATGACTTTGAGTTTTCCTAAGCTGTAGAGGCTCTTGGGGTCACATTAGTATTAGGGATGGGTACTGGGTTCTGACATAAATGGTAGTAACCAGACCGAAAAGCAGCGCACATTTCGGCAGAGATGGGCGGTAATGCGTTACTTGTAACGACGTAATGGGAAACTCACAGAGAAACTCGCGGATTCTTCCACTGACCGCGGCACACCTGCACCAGGGTAACCCTCCGCCTGCCCCACTCCTGCTTTACAGGTGAAAATAGAGCAACAGGACCGCTGAGTCTTTGACTTTATTTATTTTCTGCTGTGTTTTACTTACATCTATTTGAAAGACTGAGTGTAAACACAAAAATATTTTATTTTATGTGCTGGAATGTGCAGAAAATAGGTTTAAATGTTCAATGTTTTTCTTGATGCATAAAGTTAAAAGATTAAAACTAATAAAACAAGTTTAAAAAGAGACTTTTCCATCTGATTACATTTTGTATGATGATTATGCAGAAAAAGTAGAATTGGGCTGAAAGATCTATCGCTTTATCACCTCTTCAGGTTGTAAATCGTGTTTTTAAAAAGTAACTAAGTAATTAATTACTTTTGAAAATAAGTAATCAGTGAAGTAACGGGATTACTTTTTTGGGGAAGTAATCAGTAATTAGTTACTGATTACTTTTTTCAAGTAACTTGACCAACACTGCATTTCGGTGCTTAATTTCGGTGCTTTTTTTTCCTGAGCTGTGATACACTTTAGATTCTAGCCAATCATTTTACGTTTCCGAGGATAGTAGGCGGGTCCAGGTACGTACGTTCTTTTAGAGCAGAGCTACAGATTAAAAATGCCCAAGGCGAAGCGGTCCAAAGTCTGGCTGTACTTCACAGCAAAATATGCAAACTCAGCAGCAACAAGTGTTTTAAGGTGATACTGTGATACTGTCAAAGGAGGTAACACCTCGAATCTGATGAAACATCAGCTTTTTTAAAGCTGAGAAATGCACCGTACCTACTGCGGGTGTGGTGCTTGTTATCGGAGTTAGCAACATCCCCCAAAAACCCGAAGAGGAGAGTCCTGGCCCCTAGCCCTGCCAGTGTAGCAGAAATGATGATGATGCAGCAGCAGCCATTCTTCTCTGCGTGAGTAGCTTCATGTTCGTGTGTAATTTACATTGAGTAGGCTAACCACGTTATTACATTAATGCATGTAAGGTGAACTATAGCTGCAGAAAAGGCTAACATTGTTATCTTTTTACAAAAAAACAGCTAAACATGAGAGGTTTTTGGACAAAGTTTGTGTTCTCCATTCTTTAAGCACCGGCACCGTTTCAAAAGTACCGGTGTGGCACCGGTATCAGATAAAACCTAAACGATACCCATCCCTTTTTTTTGTAGCGTGTAGCGTGCCCACCCCCAAGGTCCTATATGTATGTGTTATGAGAGTGTGAGTAATGTGAATATCTAAGTTGTGGAATACAATTGAGGGTGGGTGAGGAGGAGTCTCATATAAGACTTTGTTTAGGCATTGTTGTAATGCAGGCTTGTAGGAACAAAGCACATCAGGTGCTCAAATTGATTAGAAGAGCACTCTGTATGTGCCTTTCCATTTAGCTTTTCTACAGCTAGCCGTATAGGTCTGCTTTTCTGTGGGCGGGTTTTGTCAACACAATACCTTCACAACAATGTAAAATGCAGCTACCCAACTTCACAGGTGTGGCTCTGGCATTAAGATGAAAGCTCTGGTATGAGAGCTCACCAGTATTGCAGCAGACTTAATGGTGTCTACAGTTATTGGAGTATTTATGATAGAACATTTACCTGCACAGCTTGAATATGTCAAAAAAAATCCTCAAATAACTCAAAATATACCAAATAAAGTTCTAGTATTAACTTCCGGTTTTAAACTACTATCCCACTATTAATAAAACTTTGTCAAGGTAAGGAGGAAAAAGGACAAGCCTAATGACAATGGCTCATTTCCATCAAGCGTCCCAATAAGCCACGACAGCAGCTGAGAGGAGGCCAGCTGTGAAGATACCTGTGCTTTCGCTGTTATGTTAAGATGTCTGATGTCTGAGCTGCAGTGCCTTATTAATCATGCAAATATTATATGTTCAATAAAACTTTTGGTTTCATTAAAACTGTGTTTCAGCTTGCTAGGCCTTTACTCCCTTCTTTAAGTTGCTTGAAGACGTTTCACCTCTCATCCGAGAAGCTTCTTCAGTTCTAAGGTCAAATGGTGGAGAGTCCCAGATATAAACCCAGTGGGAGTTTCCCCCCACAGAGGGACAAAAGGACCCCCTGATGAACGTGTTAAGGCGTCTGGGAAGTGATCTCAGAACTGGATTATAGATGGCAAGAGTTTGTCGTCGACCATCTTTGAACAGAGGGCGGAGGGTTTACGACACCAACTCTCTGCCATCTATAATCCAGTTTTGAGATCCTCCAGACGCCTTAACGCCCACTCACATCCTGGGCCATCTGACCTCAGGAATTCGCATGATAAGGTGGGGCCAGGTTTCACAATGAAGCTCACCCGAAACTCTGGCTGATTGGGACCCACACCCAGTTTCACACCTTGGCTCAGGCGATTAGAGGATCATCAGGGGGTCCTTTTGTCCCTCTGTGGGGGGAAACTCCCACTAGGTTTATATCTGGGACTCTCCACCATTTGACCTTAGAACTGAAGAAGCTTCTCGGATGAGAGGTGAAACGTCTTCAAGCAACTTAAAGAAGTCCAGACGCTTTTCTTTGCAAGCTCCTTTGACTACGATGACCTGGATGACTGAGAACCTTCACAGACATTTTACTCCCTTCTGTTTACCAGTAAAATAAGTATTTGTACCTAAAAGATAAACAAAGTCATTCGCAATAAAAATACAAGAGCTCGGAATGAGAAGAACAGAATGAAAAAGCAACAGCAGAAAGCGTTTGTCCCTTGAATACCTCGCTGTTAGTAATGGAGCAGGTCGGCAGGCCGAGATGGTGGGTGTGTTGGCTTACTACTAAAACTCACACGGTGATGTTATGACGTGAGGGAAAGACTTTATAACCGGTATAACTTTCATTTTTTTCTTAGGAAACAACATTTCCCACAGCCTCTTCAATAAGACGTTTGTGCTCCATGTGAAACAGAGTGTTGTATACAGAGAGACCGTCGCCCGACGATCGAGAAGGTTATGCTAATAATTTGTAAAAACAAATAAATAATTTAAAAACATAAAAATGTAAAAGTTGCTCATGCTACGCTGTGACGCGAACTTTAACCCTGCGGTATTTTCTGTTTCCATGAGAATAAACAGCAGATGAGTATAAAGTTTCCGTTTGAGTCAGCATGTGAAAAGTAAAAGCAGGTACACTCACCTTCATCACTGGGAATCGATTTAATCCAAGTAACCGACACAAAACACCCGAACGCCAAGAGACATGCTAACTTATAGGGGTAAAACCTCATCTCATTCCTCACTCACAGTCCCACTGTCTTTGTGTGCCTACTTGCCGCCGATGGGACAACAGGTGGATGTGAGCGGACCAGGTAAATGCAGGTAAGTTAGAAGAAACGCTTAGTGTCTGGTCACAACTGTGATTCTAGCCTACGTCAAAGCCAAGCATCTACGCGTGTCCGCTTTCATGCTTTTCCGCATGTTGAAAACGTTGTTACACGGTCGCATGATGACAGTTCCTGACAAAACGCTGTGAAATTCTCCGAGAGCACAATCTGACGTGTTGTAGGCACGCACGGCCAACAGCGACACCTGCTGGCCGTGTCTATGACAGGAACCCACAGAACAATAAAATAAATAGTAGCAATCGAAAGTCTTACTATCTCTTTATGTAATATTTCAGGTTTAGCATGAGAAATAAACCTTAGCCCAAGTTGTAGTAGGCAGCACATTTTTAGCATCACGTGTTTCGTAGTTCGCAGTATGGTTAAGGAAACGTGTGCTCCAAGGTAGCCTGTGTAAGTCCTTTTAAGTGACCGGTACGGAATGTTGCCACTGACAATCTATGCTCACGTTGAGAGTATAATAGTACGAAACGTGCCATGTTTATATAGGCTACGGTGTGAGCCTCCGCTCGTGTGGGGATGTAGCTCAGTGGTAGAGCGCATGCTTTGCATGTATGAGGCCCCGGGTTCAATCCCCGGCATCTCCAACGTTTTTGTTTTTTTTTTTTTAAATAAATTCATAAATTGACTGTTGGATTCTGTGTCCGAGTCAAATTTTCTCATTTTAAAAAAGTAGCAATTAGTAATATATATCTCGTTTCATGGTTAAGCTACTAGTTTGCCAAATGCACTAGTTACTCTGTGTTTGAAAGCACTGTTAGTATGATGTTCAAAACAAAAGCAGGAAGATCTCAAAGTAAAATTAAGTTAATTATTTATTTTAAAGTATATATTTTAATTGATGTCTGAGACAAAATACAAAGTGCAGGAAGTGACTGTTTCAGTTAGGTGACATATCCCCGTTTCCCATATTTTAAAGACGATTTTAGGTTGTAGAGAACAATTATATTTTTGTCATTGTGTTCTGGCTGCTCAATCCAATTCCTTTGAGACTTCTTTCCTACCATCCATTTATTCTAAGTGGGGGGATCACCGATTAACCAAACTCATACATGTCTTTGGACTGCTGGAGGAAGACGGAGAGAATCCATGCACCACTCGGCACAGAGAGGGCATGGAGAATGGAGCAAAACCCAGAATCTTCTTGCTCTGAGTCAGCAGTATGGACAACCACACCACTGCCCACTTTACATATCATGAGATCCACCTGTGTAAGAAATTCAGAACCAAATGATTTGTCAGAAAAAGGTTCCCGTAGTTTTCATCACCATCATCACCTTTACTGGAACAGAGAGAACACTCAGGGCAACAGAAAATGCATCCGTAGCCAAATGCATTCAAGACTGGCAATACAGCATGTGCTATTGTACTATTCCAGCTGACAGCAGTGCCATTGTTGAACCAAGTAAGGATTTTATCCTGTTATGAATTTAAGAAAGATTTACATGAAATATCAAGTTAACTTTGTTGTGAGTTTCATAAAGTCTGATGATCTCAGTTCTGACATCTACATTAGTAATCACTCTTCACACTGCCTTCTTTGTGGTCATGACCTCTCCTCCACCCACAGCTCTGTTTGGGGTTTGCCATCATCAGATCACCAGGTCAGCTCCATCAGGACCAGGCTGGCCATTGTTAGCGCCATACAGTGCAGCCTGACCTCAGGCCAATGGCCTATTCCATCATAAGGTAATCAGCTGCGGACACCCTGACTTCATGTCTGTTAAAATCATGGATACTGAAACAATATATTGTCTTTTAACAACTTGAGCTTCAAAATAACCACATGGCCTTCAGAACATCAGTCCCACTGCAACACAGATGTGCTCAGAGCGATCCCATGTGTGCAGCGCTTCAGAAAGGCTCATTCAGACAAGTTAACAGAGACACCATGCACACCAAAAAGGGCCGTTTCTGTCACTACGGGTAACAGCAAGATGAACCACACACAGCCCCATTCACATATTTACCAAGATCCCCCCACCCATCATCCATCACCCATTACCCCAGAGTGACCTTTGACACCTCCCAGCAGCTGCATTTATCGGGAAATAGGCTGTTGTCACGGTGACTGAGGAGCAGTTTTATTTTCATTTACCCCTTAAACAGTGAACAAAAACACACAAGGAATAAAAAGTTTAAAATCTGACTTTCTTTGTAAATTATCCACATGTTTATCCCTGTATGGAAATATATATGGTAATGTTTCTGACTGCAAAAGTGTTTTAAGCTGGAGTACCATATGCTGTAACTAACCAGGACTAGAACATTTGTTGTACTGTAATCTTAGCTTTTTAGACGTGGATATCACAGACAGTGCACTCTCATATACTGTAGCAGCTAAAGGAGACCATATTTTACAAAATCAGCTTCATGATGTACTCAGTAACCCTTGAAACAAGCAACTGAAGCCATGAGCCCACCAGGAAAGTAACTGCGATCATAGAATAAAGGAGCTTAGCGTTGTTTTCCCCTGTAGGTCTATACAAGCGAAATTCTTTTGGCTGCCACAGTAGCTAACCCCCTGCTGGTGATTAAAAAGAACGCAGGTTCAAGGCAACTTTTCAAAGCCAGAAGCTGTCCACAATTTAAAACAGAGACAGGATCCATTAGGAATGTGAGTTATTGTCCTCTCCTGACGGTGTTGACTTCAGTTTAAATATCTTCTTGTTCTGCTGTGTTACTATACTAAAAACAACTGCATTCATCAGCATGTCTTACATGCATTTGCATGTAAGAAAAGCATGTCTTACATGCAACTGCATTCTTATTTGCAGTTTACACAAAATTTGCATCACACCAATCGTATCGTATTGCAATAAAAGAAGCAGCGAAGGAAATTTTGTTCAACAAAGAAAGGGAAAAATAATTAGTAAAACATTTTACTATCTTTCTCATAATGAGAGGTAAAGGTCTTTGAAAGAGGATTCACTGTTGGGGTGGAACGTTCAGTCACAAAACTGGTTGACTGGCCAGTGTTTGAACAGGAATACTGTCCGAGTTGACATTGCTCAATGTGCTCATTGATGGCTGCGATCCTTGAGCATTAGTGAGGTGTGTGAGGATGCGAGCAGAAGTTGAACCCATGGAAGTGCAGAAGAGTGATGAGTTAGATGAGGGAGTGACTTGGTTCTCTTGGTTCATGAGTCATGTTCTACTTGTACACCAGGAGGACGATACACTCAGTCTTTGCTGTAATTTTTATAATTAAATACCCAGAAAAATGACACACACACACAAACACACACATATAACCCAGGACCCATGAAGACCAACAGGTTCTGGTGAAGACAGAGATGAAAATTGTTGTTAAGTTGTTACAGTAATTCATCAGCAGCTGTCTTTTTGAATTACTTAATGTTTCCCATTGAAAACACAGCTTGACTTTGCTGTGACGTGAGCACAGAAAGCAACAGAAAGCATAAAGCAAGTATAACAGTTTACATGAGACGGTTCAAAAGGAGCCTGAAATGAGCATTTGACTAATGCTAGTTAGGCCTGAACATTTGGCCCCTACAGCGAGGGCATCTGTAGACTCGTTTAGTGGTTTTGACCAGTTTGTCCCCTCACAGGGATAGGCCACTAATGATGTTCATGAACATCATGAATGACATGCACCATCACTGCTGGCTATGCATCCTGCGTGTCAGCACACCCGTGACAAATGTACTTCAGTCTAAGAAATTGAAGTCAAAGAGCAGAGAACGGTCAGTCCTGAGCATCAGTCCGTCACTGGATCTGCCTGTTCTGCTACAGACACACATAACAGGAATCAGGTTTCCTGAAAACACACTGCATTCGTCCTACACGTGTTTCTAGTTGCAGCTTTTTTCTCTCAGCAGAGAAAGACCAGATTAGATTGAGCTTCATGATCCCAGCAGGATGGTGCAGGGTTCACATGAAGGGGACTCACCAATGGAAGAAATAACATTAGCATTGACAAGAATATGGAGAACACGGCTTAGTGCAGTTCATTCTTTTTTCATTGACATGAACAGTAGGATATCAGTTGCATTTAAAGAAAGAGGCCAACATGAGAACACCCCTCCCACCAGTTCAGTGGATTAAACACAAAGAAGAAACACAAGGAAAAAGCTGCAGCAGAACGAGAGGGAGCCACAAATCTGTCTTGGTTTTGTTTTAATCCTCATGTTAAGAGGATTGTGTGTAAAAATGTCATCATGAGAGAAGATACACATAAACATGCAGATGTTGCACACATGCAAAGGCACACACACGTGTCTAAACCCATCTTTACTGTGCAACACTAATCCTGCACGAGTCAAATGTTGCATTCTGCACTCACAGAGTATTGTGCCACAACTAATTGCTTTCAAATCAGATTTCTTTGTTCATAAATTGTGTAATGAGGGCAAATAACTGACTGATAGGAGGAAAAACAAGTTGGGAAAAACCAAGGCACAATCTCGGGATAGAGGAAGGAAGATATTTCTGCAAAGATGAAACTCTTCATTTGTCATGCTGCTGTGGCAGTGGGTGGGGTAGGGGGTGGGGGTTAGGAGTCAGGCTTCGAGGAAACGAGCAGGAGAGTAGAAAGGACCCATCTGTTCCCATTGTGGCAAATGAAGAGAGAGCAGGGAGAAGCAGAAGGCAGAGCAGCAGGAAGGTAAGTGTTAAAAGCACTTTTCTCATCTTTAACTTGCTGTGATTCAGCTTTCAGACTAAATTTGGAGTTAGTGTAACTTAATGTAATGAATGAATGTGCCGTGGTCAGTGGTGTGAGATGTTAGGTTTCATTGTCAGATGGTGACAATATTACATGTGCAGGGACTAATACACAGCCTGAATTACTGTACAGCTGTGCCAATACCGCTGCTCGAATTCCTCCAAACTCTGTTTCTCATTTAAAGCCTGACTTCAGTCAGGATTACAGATAAGTCTAATCAGAAGATTTTGATCAGCCACTAAAATGAGGCCTCTAAATAAGACGGATTATTCTGTTTGTAAATTCTTCTGAAATGCTTCCTAACCCTTTCCTAAATGTAAAAATGAGGGGAAAATCCTGTGATCCCTGTGACCCAGGTCACTACTTAAAATCAAACAGTAATATTAGAAACAGCCAAATCGCAATTATAATCGTAATTTCCAGTAATACAATAAGTTAAAACTGACCTGACATGCGCATGTTGGCAGAGGCAGATATTTGTATAGCTGGACTCAACCAGTTGGCCAGACATAGAACTCCAAGTAAATGCTACTGTGTCTTTGTGCCTGCAAGAGGCTGAAATGACACCACGTTTTTCACCTTTATTAACACAAGAGACCAAATAAGAAACATAAAAAGTCCTGAATGCAGCTCAAACGCTGTGAAATGCAAAAATAAGTCAGCTTTGGGGTTAAGACAAAAATGTATGCACTTACATTTTAGAGCATGAACTTTACCTGATCAGCTGCTTTGATGCAACGTCATTTGCCACCAAAGCAGTTCCTCTAATGTCCAGCTTGTTTAATTCAGAATGTTCTTTCTGACAGTCGGCTCCTTCGACCTTCGCCCCCTACTCTTGTGGCTGCTTTAATCTCATTACTTTAAAGCTGCCTTGTCCTCCATTCATCCTCCCTCCTCCTCTCTGCCCCAGTGCTCTAACTGAAATGGTACACCCTCTAACTTAATTAATGGAGGCATCTTCTGATTGACATGGGCACACACATATCTAGCAGTGTCCTATACGGCAGGGCACCATGCCCTCCCCTCTGTATTTTATGGTAATTCTCGTCCATCTCGTGATTGAATCTGGTAGGTTTCTCCACCCTGTGGGAATATACTACGTTTCCCATCAGCTTCTTTTACTCACTGCTTTAACGCGTCCGTGCTATTGTGACTTGGAGTGTCACAGTGTGCTTCCCGTTCTTCTGTGACAGTTTTTACACTTTACTTTCTAGCAGCAGCAAAAGTAGCCACAGGACGTGCATCACCACACAGGGAAGGTTGGGAAGGGCCTGGTTGCATGAAGAGATTTGATTGGGTAATCTAGTGTCACCGATAAAAATGAATGGATGGGCTGCTGTCAGTGCTTGTAGGGCCAATGCACAGCAGACCTTCAATCCAGTCTGTGGCCTGTGTAACTATATCGACCAAAAAATGATATTGACACATCAGCACACCGGGCATGCCAGAATACCAGTAACTCTTTAGTGGATCTGTTAGACTGGAGTGCAAATTGCACAGCATCCAGAGACGTGCCATGAATAACCTTCATGATGATTGAGCGCCATGGGCAGCAGTCATGCAGGCAGGTAGCAGCTGTCCTCTTTGGGACTACGATGATGGTGGTGGATGTGAAGCACACTGGGACAGGCATTATTCTCTTATATTTTATTACATTGCAGGTGCAAATGTAATGTACTCACCTTTGTATCCTTCTGAGACCCAGAAAAAGGTTTTAGTTGGTCTCATTAATGCAGCCTTGTTGCATCACCAGCCAGAGGACATGCTTTCTTTCTCACCCGAGACATAAAGATGACTCGTGACTTTGACTGACTGCCAGATGCTGAGTTATACACCGGGTCCTGGTCCTGGCTATAACTAGGACCCAAGATAATCCGAGTCCTGCCACATATACAGATATGCTGAATGATGCTTTCAATTTTAAGAGACGAGCACCTCCCTCTGGTTTGTAGTTGATCTGTTTTCTCATTAAAAAGTCTTTCTACCCAATTTCAAAAGACTTGAACTCTAATGAAAAAACCTCCAAGGCCTAGCTTACACATTGCTTCTTATACATGATGGAAGATGAGTGCAGAACATACCAGTGTGTCCTCTGACCTTTCACCATCCCGGGACAGCTATTCGTCTGACTCCCTGCCTACAAACTGAGTGAAATCCTTTAAAATCTCATTCACAAATCAGAGTTATTCCTCTGTCCACTACAAAGGACACTGAATAAAAGTTCTCTTTCAACAGTGTTAACATTACTGCACATTTCTGAAATTCTACTAATTGAAGATAACAATCTAATATTGAAGAAACAATTTGAGGTTTCATTATAATATTCAATTAAATTCAATTTTATTTACATATTGTAGGTAGACCCCTATATATCATATCACTTAACCTGAAATGTGGGACCTCCAGTGCCTTTTCATTTGGAAAAGAACTCTGTTATTACTCTATTAGCCCAATCCCCAAAATGTGGCATCAATAAAAGCCCAGCGTGTCCCCTCGACACCACAGTAGGACTCAGATTGCATAGATTCTGGTTGATGTAGAGGTTCATGTCCTTCACAGAGGACACAAATGAATTGCTTTTAGGAGAATATAGTGTTTTTTCTATTTTAATAACTGCAAAGAATGCAAACGTCTGTGACTGCTGTGAGGTGACAGAACTAACCACTGCACCAGACCTTGTGTCCGTGTCAAGGCACCCTCTGTACCACTGTGCAAAATGTTAAAATATTTTTTGTGTACTTTGGATAACTTAAGGAAAACTCTTTAAATGTCGGTCTTTAGGGTTTTTTGCTGCCCTGTCTGCATCGTTGTCTTTAATGTTTTAAAATGACTTTGCTTCATTTCCAGTGGATTTCCACACACTGAAAATACTGCTTTCCACTGAATATTCTGCTCCAAAAACATGTAATCAAGATGAAGATGTATATGACTTTCCTCTGCTTGAGCTGTGGATGGATGCAAACAACTTGTGCTGCTAGTGTGACTCTGTCACCATCCTCTGCACCAGTGACACCCACTGAAGATGAGAGCTCCAAACTTGTGGTAATAGAAACCATACAACTATTGATGGGAAATTAATAATATCTTTACCAACTCTCTCATATATTACATTGGTAGTGAGCTTTATATATAATATAGATACAGGACTGCAGGATAGAAATGGAAGAAGAACACCCCATTAAAGAGATCATTTACCCCCTTTTTTAGGATTGGCTGCTGAAGTATGGTTACCTCCCACCCTCAGACCCTTCCACCGGTCAGCTGCAGGCTTGGACAGGTGTCACCAATGCTGTGAGGGCCATGCAAAGGTTTGCAGGCCTAAAAGACAGCGGAGTTGTAGGTGAGGAATGGTGTCTGTAAAAAGACGTTTATGCTGCTTCTCAAATCTAGTGTTCTCTGTGTGATTGGATAAAGTCTGTTCTCTGGTGTCCAGATGAGGAGACAATGGCGGTGATGAACACGCCACGCTGCTCACTACCGGACCAGGAGGAATCATCCATACTATCGGCCAACCAAGAGAAAATAAATATGAGGAGGCGGAGAAGATGGGCTGTCTCCATGTGGACGCGCAGGAACATCAACTGGAGGTGGGATAAAACTTGCGAGGAGACTGTGATCAGTTCGATGTAGTAGTTCACAATGGCTTCCTACTGTCAGTAAGCTGTGCTTGGTGAAGTATCTGCCACTCGGTGAGGTCTTTGCGTCTATCTTACCTCGTCAGGTTGCAATCATATCCCTCCTCTTCTCATCTGTCTCGGGAAACAGTTCGCTCACTTATCTTCTACGCCTTAAGAGTGTGGGCCGAGCCAACGCCACTGGAGTTCCATGAGGTTTGTCAGATGCCACTTTTGACTAGAACTAGCCAAAGTCACACAGTCGATGAGTTTCATTCATTCTGTTTCCAGGTGGGCAGTCCGGATGCAGCTGACCTGCGGGTAGACTTCTTCCATGGTTACCATGGTGATGACTATCCCTTTGATGGGGCAGGTGGAGCAGTGGGCCACGCTTTCTTCCCCTCAGACCCAGCCCGGGCAGGAGTAGTTCATTTGGATGCGGAGGAAGAGTGGGCATTCAGACAGCCAGGTAGAGCAACACTTCCAAAACATAGAAGTCTAATCTTTTATGAGTCTTTTGTCTTGTGTCTCCACATGCTGTGGATTAATGCAGCTTGGTGACCAAGCTTGACAGTGCTAGGTGGTAACTCAGTGCTCCACACTTCTGTCAAGTTGTGGTCCCTTCTTGCTCCAAAGTTGCCAAATGGCAGTGGACAAAACAATAACACTGAGTCCAAAACCAGTGAGCTTTGGACCACAATCCATACAGTCTATGGCCATACTACACCAGTAAACCATGACTTGTTTCTCTTCTTCTTCTAATCAGGTCATCATTTTGTTTTCTGTTCCTGCTCTTCTGTTTCCTTCCCAGTCTCTGAGGGTACCGACCTGTTCACAGTGCTGGTTCATGAGTTTGGCCACGCACTGGGCCTTCCTCATTCCTCATCCCGTCACTCAGTCATGAGGCCATACTACCTGGGTCCTGTCGGAGACCCTCTCCACTACCGCCTGGGACCCCAAGACCTGGAGCACATCACTCAGCTCTATGGTGAAGCTTCTCACACCATGATTTAATCATTAATATTGATTATAGTCGATGTGTGAGGATGTGTAAACTAGACTGAATGTAAAGTTTCAGTATTAGCACACATAGGATAATATAAAGTTTGATGTAAAAGGATAAACACTGAAGTGCAGTTTAAAGGATGAATGAGGACAGCTGTGAAATAGCTCCCTGGCCTGACCTCTGGTGTGTTTATTGAGGAAGGACAGAATTCGTTTCTTCACAGCTTTAGCCTCCACATTCAGCGAAGACTCTCGTGAAAGCCTCATACTGTAAAATATAAAAACGAGGAAATGTCTGACTGCGCTGTTGCTCGGAAACCATTCTTAACTTTCTCATTTTGCTTTTGCATAATGTCATGAATGCTTGACAGGCAAACCGCTGTGTCTGTGGATATTCAAGCTTCTGCCCACATGTTCCAAAAAATACATCCTTCCACTCAGTGTCGTTCCAGGTTCATTAACTGTATTTGCATCTCGGGTTTAACAATTTGTCATTGTGAAAATTTACTAACCACGATCCATTTTTTAATGTTTGGTACTTAAACTAATGAACATGTAAAATATATTATTCATTGGCACAACTTTATACTAAGGTCTGTGGCTCCTAGAAGTTCAACTTGAATATCTTTGCCACAGATATGATATGAAATTGTTTCTGTGGTTTTAAGTGAAATGCAAAACTATCGTCTGACACGTAGTTTATAAATGAATAATTTCACAATATGAAGCACGCTGGAGAGGAAACAAGCCTTTCTGTAAAATACTTGGTTACCAAATACTGTGGCAATAGTTTGGGGCATTGAACTGTGTTGTACTAACCTTCTAAAATGAAGCTAAACGAGTAATCATCACACAATAATGGGAAGTAGGCTGGGCTTAACCAAGCATGTGTGGCACACTGGAAGTGACAGTAGCTCTGGCTGTGTCCCACCAACCTGCAGTGGTTCTTAGACTGTCAGGTGGGCCCCTTTGGTGGTGCATGGAGCCAACCGCAGAAGGAGCATTGAAGAACCAGTCAGTATAACCCAAAATGCATCACCATGAACTCAGCAGGGAAGTGTTTGCAGAGGTCAGGAATGACGTTTTCCTATGGACCCATATAGTGCTGCAAGACTTTTTATATCTATCACTGGCTGCTGCCCTTTAGATAGAAGCAGATTTGAGGCATTTCTGCATTGGCTAAATTTTTCCATTGAGAATCTACGTTTATGTCCAGTTAAATGGGGTTTGAGTCTGGAGACTGTGCTGCCATCACCATCTTGTTCCTTTTCCTGAGGTAGTTCTGCCACAGCTTGGACTTATGTTTTGGGTCATTATCTTGCTGTAGGATGAGCCCCTGACCAACTAGGTCCATACCACAGGGTACTGCATGGTATCTGTTTTGGTTCAGGGAGCCTCTCACTCAGTACAAGTCACTGACCCTGGATCCAGCAGACGATCACACTTCCTCCTCCATGTTTGACAGTTGATGACACACACTGTGGAACCATCCTTTCACCTACTTGCCGGCGTACACAGAGCCTGTGTGATGAACCGAAGAGTTCAAAATTTGATTCATCAAAATAATAATACCTTCCTCCAGTCCTCAGTAGTCTTTGTCTTATCCTGAAATCTTACTGATGGCTTTCTTCCTGCAGCTCGACGTTTCTCTTCACAGCTGAAACTGAGACTTGCTCACTACAGCCACTATGAAGCTGCTTGAAGCTGTTGTCCTGTGAGCCGCCATCACACAAGCTGTTAACTCTCAGAAACTTGTCCTCTGATTCAGTCGTGTCCTTGGGTCTGCAGACCTCCTGCTGTCAGTGTGTTTCTGAGAGTGTTTGATGTGAAGGAAACTGGACTCATTGACACCTTGACTTTCTTTGCAGTTTCTCTGTAGGACGGACCTACATTTATAAGTGTTATGATATTATGTCTCTTCCATTGTTAGTTGCCATTTTTGCACCATTTTTGTAGCAACACACTACTTTCTGCAGTACAATACTGTTCAACTGATGAACACGAGGGTCTGGTACCACAGTGTGTTTAAAATGGTGATGGCTAACCAACAGGCATACTAGTGGTAGACAAGCAGAGGAAGACGGCTGCAGTAATAGACGTAGCGATACTGAATGACAGCAACAATCAGAAGAAGGAACACGAGAAGCAAGAGAAGAGCCCTTGGTGCTTCTCCACAGGGGCGGAGGGGGAATTTAGGTTTTTTTATAGCTTTTCCATTTAAATTGTTGTGATTTTTGATTTAGGTCAAATGAACAAGCTGCTGTCTACGGAGGCTCCTCGTATCACCACAGAGTTGCACCACAGAGGCCATCATCATCATCGTCGTCAGCATCATCATAGGCATGGGTATGACTTACTGAGAGATTTTTCTGTTAATAACAATCATATTAATATTATCATTATTAATAATAATACATTTAAGGATAAATAAAATGATAAGACTATAAAAAAATAAAAAGCAGAGGATTCATGTGACAGGATGAGTAATTAAACCCATTTAAAGGAGTGTGTTTTGAGACGGGATGTGAAGATGGAGAGAGTCAGAGTTCTGAATGTCTGGCGAGATGGAATTCCAGAGGCGAGGAGCAGAGCAGCAGAAGGTCTAGATCCCATAAAAGCCAAACGGGGGAAGGGACGTTCACACGGACAGAAGGAGACAAAAACTCTTTGTCATAAATATGCTAGATGGCTACAAGAATTCTTACTGTGTGCCTCTTTTCTTCCATATTTTTGCAAAATCATCTAATATCAG